GATTCATACTTATGAATAAAAATGAAAATGACAAGGAATGATAATGGAAATGATTTTTCATTCCCTCCAATTTTACTAGGAATGAAATTTTGGGTTTCTGGATGAATGAACCCATTATATTATAAAAAAAACTATACAGTTTCTTTTATTTTTATTCTCATTGATTACTGTTTAATATCTTAAACCAAACACCCTTTAAATATAACAATCAATCTTTAAATTATTATAAATAAAGTAAAACCATTTAATAAAACATAAATTAAATATAAAATATGAAATGTGAAATGACATAAAAGAATATAATCTTACTATATAATTTATATTTTTGTCAAACACAAGATTTGAAGGAATAAAGAGAAATCATTATGATAGGTACAACAAAGAAAACCCCTCAAGATTCCAAATATGGAAATGTATCATACAAACATAATTATTGACAGTTTGGTTCATGCTGAGGAATGAAAATAACAGGAAATGAAAATGAGAATGAATTTGCATTTCCTCCATGTTAATCTGGAATGGAAAATTGGACTTCTGTGGGAATGAACCCATTATATTATATAATACCAAACAGTTATTTTATTTTCATTACATTGATTACTGTTTGTTGCTTAATACCTATAACCAAACACCCCATTACTTTCTTTCTACATTCCTATTTTGCATTCCATCATTTGTTACAATTAAAACTTCACAGCAAAACACTGTGAAGATAACCTTCACAGTGTCTTTCCTGTGAAGGTTCGACTTTTTTTTTTACCTTAAACAAACATTTTGTTGTGAAGTTTCAAGTGTAAAAATCGTGTTTCATGAAAACAACTTTGTCTCATATGATTCAAGGTCATTTTTCTTATATTAAATATATATTTCCAAGATATAGATTTTATTCACTTATATTATACATGATTTAAAAAACTAATTGATCATATATTATAACAGAGGCGGATGTAGCATATAAAATGGTGGCGGGATGGGCCCCATTAAAAAAAAGGAATTCTTAATTACTTAAGTTAAAAACAATTTTTTCTTTAACTTTCTACCAGTCCGTACAGTAATTTCTGGCCTGTGCCCCCACCAACCAAAAAGATTACACTGAAATCAACCAAAAAAGTATCTCAAAATCAACAACAAATACAGAAAAAGCCAATCAAAATCGACAAAAAAAAAAAAAAAAAAAAACTTAAAAATCTCTCGAAATTAACCAAAAAACTTTAAAAATGCCTTGAAACAATGGATTTAGGCTAAGAACACACCGACAACTTTGTAGGTCTTTATTCTACCTTAAAGGTGCCCCCACTAAACAAAAATTCTGGATCCGTCACTGTTGTACAGTGATACCACTCAAAAAATTAACAAGTTCCATTAAGGAATTATATAACATATTCTTTGTCGTTGTTATGTCTAATCAACTATTTATTCATAGAATCTATAATAAAGTGGTCACACACAAACCCTGTTTTTATCAAAGAATATTTTTCCAACCCATTAAATGAAAATTCTTGTATACAGAGAGGGAGACTTGGGATCATGTGAAACCAGCATGTTTTCGTGAGACTCGTAAGACCATTTTTTACGCTTGAAACTTCATAGCAAAACGTTGTGAATGTAACTTTCACAGTGTTTTTGCTATGAAGATAACTTTCACAGTGTTTTTGTTGTGAATGTTCGGTTTTTTTTACCTTCACACTGTTTTGCTGTGAAGTTTCAAGTGTAAAAATGTGGTCTCACGAAAACAGACTGGTCTCACGTGAACCCAACCATATATATATATATGGGCCTAATCAAATAAGAACTGTTTTGTTTGTGGTAACCGTGAGATCCAATCTTAACCACAAATCAGTATATAAATTAGAAAATTAATAAATTTGGTAATTTTCACTTAAAATATTAATTAAGAGAATTTTAGGGATTTTATAAATATCTTCTCTCATCTCTCATCTTTCATCTTTCCAGCGAATCTTATTCGACGAACTTTATTTCAATGAACCTTATAAGATACACACTGTGATACCTACAATTTATATTCACTGTAATACCTAAATATACATACAAGATACACAATGTAATATCCTTTGTAAAGTAATGAAAATAACGAAAATGCACACTATGATATATTTCATAAAACAAAGAAAATACATTGTGATACACGTCAAAAATTATGAACGTTATCACTATGATACACTTTGATTCACAAACGAGTAAAACTCTTATTTATTTTTTTAAACTTCAATCCAAAATTTACCTACTTATTCATTGATAACCGTTACAATATAACTGATAAAATTATAACTGATTGTCTTACAGGATTAGCTCAACCAACAATAAGATGTAGGTCGTTGGGATTTTCCTTCGAACTCACCAGTTCGAGTCATGTGAGGCGACTGATTTCTGGTTGTTCATCAGCGTTCGTGAGATCAATTGAGGTACAAAAATACTGGTCTGGACACTCTTGATTTAAAAAATATAACTAATTTGCTTGTTATTGATTTTATTTTTTTAGTAAAAAAATAAAAATTAATTATATATTTTAAATAAATAATACAAGGAACCTCAATTGGGAAAAGTAGAAAAGCATCTAAAGACCTAAAGAACTAAAGCTTTAGGAGGTTCTTATAGGATCATTCTTCCTCTTTGGAGTTGACTACAAAAAGAGTAGGACATAAATACATGCCCAATTACATTTATTTTTTATTTAATAAATTATCCAACTTTTAAAAAGTTTCTAAGAAAATGGTAAATTGCATAAAAAAGTAGCGTACTTTAACTTGATTCTTATTTTGAGTAATATACATTCAAAACTTTCATTTTGGTATCTAAGATGTAAAGTTTTAAACATTTAAATACTCGGGTAACTGGTTGAAGTATTGGCCATCGGGGCAACTTGGTACCTTTTTATGGGAGTCAGTACTAGGCATTGGCCACATGATGTAATGTGTAGTGAATGAGTGTACCTGGGATTATCATGAGTTTTGATATTCATCCCAGAGAAACTGACTCATAAATTACATCATGCGGCCAATGGCTAGAGTTCAACCAACGTGTGATTTATAGTTCAAGCCTCTGATAACACGTTGTATATTTCTAACCATGAAACGATCGTCTCATATTAAACCAATAAAGATTGACTCTTACGTCTATGGATCTATTGCATCACGGTCTAAATTACATGACTCCAACTGAATGACCGACACACTCAGGACATGTAATTCCAAATAAATATGACATACCGCATATAAACTCAAAAGCTCAACATAGAGCAAAATAAAACCAGACAAATGTCCCAAGACTCATTTGAGTCAAACCTGAGCCAAAAAGCTTAACAACTCCATTGACTATAGAATAAAAGTCATCAAAAGAATTAAAACGCATTTAACCAATGTTTATGCAAAAATCTGCTCCACAGACATGATTAACTCAAAAACCCGTCATTGGTTGAAACAAACCATTTTCCAAATGAAATTATATCCTTATATTTCCAAAATGTCTCGTAACACAATAACGTGCATTTTCCAAATGGTTTATAAAACTAAATACACCAAAATGCATTAATATTAAAATACTCTCTGTTTGTAGAATAAACCACCAAAAGAACACATTCTTGAGATTTATTTATCAAAATGTCCAAAAATCCAAATATAGGCACTTTACAAGATTTATCACCCAAATTTATCAAATACACAAACTTCATCAAATACTCAACACATTTGATAAATATCGAGTAAAACACATTACTACTTCAAAATACACATTTTGCAATGTATATAGTTTTCATAAATCAACTTGAACACACCTTGCTAGGTTAAGTTAAATTTAGGTTCCAAACTCATCTTTAGTTTCCAAAATCGTAAAAACCTTGGATCTCCAACTTAAACTTCTTGATCTATGATGTATACTTTCTCAAGAACACTTACTTTACTCCCAAAACATACATAAACAAATCCAAGAGAAGAAATGAGCGTTGATGTGAAAAAACTCAGATCCTAGGTTAAGAGATGGTTGGATATAGGCTTACTTTTCGACTTATAGGAACTCCATCTCTTAGGGGAAGCTTCAATCCTTCTTGTTTTCATCTTGAAGAGATTCAAAATATGAATCCATAGTAACGAAAATTGCCCAAAACAGAGTCGAAATGAAGAAGTTATACACAAATGAAGTTTAATCTCGAAAATCGGATTTTAATGTACTGAAATGTACCGGGAGCTTTCTCCCTGACATGCTATTGTGCCATATGGCACTATTGTCGGGTACTATAGTCGGGCACATACCAAGTGTTTTCATACTCAAACAACACTAATCCATAAAATACTTAACAGATCTATGTTAAGGGTAGAAACAAAGATAAATCTTGGGATTTCACTTTAGCAAAATCCGGATGTTACATTGTGCAATTGTCACTATTTCATAACACAATCGTCAGAACCACCAAGCTCAGTTTCACCGGCGCTACTGTGATAGATGTCACAATCGCATGACACAATAGTCGACGCGACCATACTCATGGCACAATAGTCGAGAGGACCATACTTGGTTTTTCTTTATCTGGTCGCTCGATCCAACACTTTCTTCAACTAGGACGAAAATTAGAATGTTACAGTCCCGTCCTTTCATGTGTCGTTTCATGTACCAAACGCAACCTAAAAGTACACCGACTCAGCATAAATCGTGGGTCCGTCACACATAAACACCAAATATAAATATTAAGTAAGGAGAGAGATTGAATATTCATATATCCATTTATGCAATTTAGCACATGCATACACTCCCCTACTACCTATAAATACCATAACCATAGCTTCTGATCCACCATGCAAACTCAACTCATATATGTTTCTTCCAATTATCCATAGCTTCTGCTCCACCATGCAAACTGAAACTCAACTCATATGTGTCTTCCAATGATCCATAGCCACCCACCACCACCCACAACCGTCAATCACCGTCTTCAAGATTGAATTGCTCCGCCGTATTTAGTTTTTAGGGTTTAAAAAAGAACCAAAATGATGATCGTTTGCAAACAAATTCAGGCACCAGTAATGCAATTGCCGATATCCAACGGGGGAATGGACTTATCGGTGCTCCGGTGCCGGCCACAGAAGGAAAAGGTGGTGGTTGTGATGGGAGCCACCGGTACCGGAAAATCAAGACTTTCCATCGACATCGCCACCCGTTTCACGGCGGAGATAATAAATTCCGACAAAATTCAGCTCTACGAAGGTCTAGATATCGTCACGAATAAAATCAGCGAAGACGAGTGCGTCGGCGTTCCCCACCACCTCCTCGGGATCGTGGACCCAGAATCCGATTTCACCTCCGCAAACTTCGCCAGTACCGCTTTGCTCGCGATGAAATCGATCGTCGGAAGAGGGAAGCTCCCGATAATCGCTGGTGGATCGAATTCGTTCATTGAAGCGTTGGTCGATGACGAGAACTACGAGTTCCGATCGAGGTACGATGTTTGCTTCTTGTGGGTCGACGTCGCAATGCTGGTGCTCCACCGATTCGTGTCGGATCGTGTCGACCGAATGGTGGCCGCCGGGATGGTGGAAGAAGTCCGAAACATGTATAACCCTGACGCCGACTACTCGAAAGGAATCCGGCGAGCCATCGGAGTGCCGGAATTCGATTCKTATTTYCGCGCCSAATWYTCAWMTTCCRSCGACRAAARWAYTCGCGCCAAATTRYTSGAARMCGCCATTAAYGAAACAAAGMTMAAYACRWKYAARYTSGCTYGCCGGCAAMTSGRAAARATTCACCGGTTAMGRAAYGTTAAAGGGTGGAAAATTCACCGGCTGGATGCCACCAAAGTGTTTCAGAAGAAGGGTAGAGACGCCGACGAGGCGTGGGCGGAGCTGGTGGCCGGACCGGCGGCGGTGATCGTAAATGAATTTCTTTACAGCTTTGATCATTCTCGAGCTTTTGCTGCGACAGCGGAGGGCGGTGGCAGAGTTATCAGAGAGGCGGAAATGGGGGCGGCGATGGCCGCCGCGACTCACTAAGCATTGAAAAGAAAAAAGGTTATTGGCTAAGGAGTTATAAGTTAATTTTCGGGGAAATTAAACAAAATAGCGGATATTTTTAAATAAATTCATTTTTTACCTATTTTTTTAACTAAATTGTCGTTTAGTTGGAATTTACGTAAATTTTCAGATTAAAAAAAAATCTTTATGTAAATGTGAATTCTGAGGAGGTTCAGGGGGAAACCCAAAAAATTGAAAAACTAAGAAATATTCTTCGTCTAATCGGTATACACATGTGCATACAAGTAAATGAAATTATTTCTTGGTTTTGACACGCATGGGCATACTGGACAAATTGCTTAAAACAAACTAGTATGCACATGTGCGTACCGTCCAGATGAATAGTTCCCGAGATGTTCTTCAGGTTTTCATTTTTTTGTGATTTTCCCCTGAACCTGTGGATTCTTAAGCAAATTTATGCAAAGATTTTTTTTCTTTTTAGAATCTGAAAATAGACTTTACGTAAATACCTAAGGTAAAAATGAAAATTTCAGACTAAAAATAAAAATTGTTGGAAAAATTAGTTATTTTGGTTAATTTCCGTAATTTTCGCGATATACAAAATTTTGAATAGATACGCATATATGGTAACTAAGGAATTTACAATTTTGCACCTTGAAATCGTGTGGTAACATTGATGTTAATGAATGTTTTAGATGGGGTTTTATGGAATATTATGTTGGATGATAGTGGTGTTTCTTTTGTTCTTAAATTAGCAATTATTATATGTCAAATGAATAATATACCTTATTCCAGGGTAGTTTAGTTGTTGTTTGGAATTTCGCAGAATGATTAAGAGGCTTTCATGATACGGTGCAAAATGAAATATAATTGTTTACTATAAAATTAGGACGTTGAACGGTTAAAAGAGACCCAGGATACAAAATCATTCAAAAGGTTTTATAACCATTAAAAGACAAACTTTTTTTCGTCAAACAAGATTCATCTCTTAACGATTCAGGGGTTGTCTCTTAATGAAACTATTAAAATGTAAACAACCCCTTAGTAATACACGATACTGCTATCCTCTATATTTAATTTGTTTCATATATGTAAATGGTTGGATACGGTCATTTTTACAAAAAGTAGATACAATCACTTCATTCTTACGAAACCTACAACCTTCAAAAATTACATGTTGATCATACACGATGAGAAATAAACCCAATTTGTCTTCTGTTTGGTAAGGATGGTGATTTGCCCCGACCCGGTGGAGAACGCGGCTCACCCGACCCGAACGAGGACGGGGATTCCCCGTTAAAACAGGTCCCAGGGCCGGGGATCCCCGGTAGACTCAAACTAACAGATATTCTTCATAGGGTTTGACCGAGGTTGGGATGTTAATACCCGTACCCGCCGGGGCCGGGGACTATTACTAAAAACCGGGGCCGGGGATTACAAAACCCACCCATCGCCACCCCGTTGCGATGCCTAGTGTTTGGTACAGTACTAGTACTGAAGAATAGCAAAACATGACTAACACAAAACAAAATGTTAAAAAAGGATGATCAAACTACTCACCAAATAATGTTTAATACACACAACCAACAAGGGTAATATGGTAATTTCACCACTTAGTCACATCCGTTTCGTTTTTATTCAACCCATTTTAATAGAACAGAAATTTACATTTTTGTCCCACACAGCCTCATATTGTCTCAAACCAGTGTTTAACAAACACAGGATACTTACTGTCTTCTATTATTTTATGTCTTGTATACCAAACTACATTTTCATCCCACACGGTCTCGTATTGTCCCAAACCAATGTTTGACAAACATGAGATACCGTCTTTTATCATCTTTTGTCATGTATAACAAACGCACCTCAACTATACAACTATCGTTGTTCTACAGTTATATAAAAATGCATCATATGCAAGGTGTAAACCATCTGAAATGGTCCAATCATTAATCCCAGCACTAACCATTGGTGGTCCATTAAGCAAACAGACACTTCAAAGTCCAAAGCAAACCTCCAAGAAATCAACCATAAAAGTTCCCAAAATCTATCCTTTGCCACTTTGCCATATACCATATACCATATACCATACAGGATTCCAATCCAGCTGTACAAAAGGGATGCTAGAATCAATTTCTTGCAAACCTTGTGGTTTTCACCTATCAATTCTTGTCCAAGAATTTTCGAACGAATTTCTCCCTAAAAGAGTCGTTGTAGACGGACGGAAAGTTCCTACATACATACGTATTGTAATGGCCAGTGTCTAGTCGATAGGACTCCAACTCTCCCTGCTCTGATATCATGTTAGGATATGTGGAACCCCTTTGAATCTTTCTCTAAAAGAGCCCTTATAGAGACGGAAGGTTCTACGTATATACAAGTTCCGATGACTTGTATATGTATATGTATATGTATTTGTATCTGACTGAAGTGGGACTCTAACACTATCAATCCCAAAATCAAATCATTCGTCCACTAAGCCATGATCCTTACCCGCTCTACAACAAGCCTCCAAGACTCGATGAGAAAGGTTTGTACTCTCTTAATATCTTTACCACTACTATGCCATAGTCAAGAAGTGTTGGAGTTCAGCAGAAAACAAAAAAAATAGAAAATTGAGAAACACCCTAATAACCATTCATTTTTTCGGCATACACATTGCATAAAGTTAACTTGTCTATTGTGCATATATACAAAAAATGCACCCGTACATGGAAACTAGGAAATATTTTCAATTACTTTTATTCACATGTGCATACTAGACAAATGAACGATTACTAGGGTATTCCGTTCCTCAGTTTTCCCCTGAACCCGAGTCCGAAAACCTACATCCTGCATAACACACAATCCTGCATCCATTTTTACAAGTTGTTACCATACTGAACAATCCTAGGCCAATCCACTCTTGACATCCACTCTTAAGCAAGCCTCCAAAAAACCAACCAAAAAGGTCCGTACTTTACCTTACATACTATACCCATAGTCAAGATTCCTATTGATTTTTTTGGAAGGGTGTCTCTGTCTATGCCAAGACTAATCCTAACAAATTGCGACCGAGTCCTCATAAACTTAGTGGCCACAATCATTATGCACGTCTGGAATTGAAAGATGGGATTTTCTACCATATCCTTGAAACTCAACCACTATGCCACAACCTTTTTGATTGTCAAGATTCCTATTTATATGGATGCCAGAATCAGTTTTGACAAAGCTTGTAGGGGATCCATGGTTTTGACCTATCAATTCCCAATCAAGAACAATAATTGCTTTTTCATCCATGACCCTGATACCCTCCTTTCAAGAAACCTAAAAGAAATCCAATCTTATCTCAATAAAAACACACCCCACATACAAAGATGGAAGTCTGATTCCATCGCGGCAAATACAGAAACAAAGCATGTCTGACTTGAAAAAAGAATTTATAGCAACTGGTCCAACAGACGAATTCATTTTCAAGCAAGCATCACTAAAAAAATGAAAACGATCCTTAAAAGCTATGCACTTTGAATCAATTCTTTAAAGATGCATTTGGTACACTGGACAGGACAAAACAGGGATCAAGGCGAAGTTGTTAAAGGCTCAAGGCGCACTTAGGCGCAGGGATCCCGGGGCCTAGGTGCGAGGCGCGGGCCTCTGGAATGTGAGGTGCATCTTATGAAAAGTGTATATATATACACACAGTTATACACAACTCAAATATGTAACAAGTACTCGGTGCTACAACCAACAGTACTTCAATAGAGGCAGAAGGGTTGGGTTAAAAGCGTGAGCCATGAGGGAGAAGTTTTAAGGTCTAGGTATTTATAGAGAAAGAGGTTTGAAGTTATAAGAACCGGGTATTCAATATTAGGGCTTGACACTTTGACTTGTATCATTTATTTAATAACTCATTCTTTAAGAAGTCCAGAAGATATGAAGATAAGAAAATATATTTAATATTGGGGTTTGACTTGGTATTTAATAGCTCTTTAAGAGGCGCGCCTAGGCCCACAAGGCGCCTCATCAAGGCGCAGAGCCTTAGTGAGCCTCGTGAATATGCCTAGCCTCGACATTAAAAAAGCCCAAGACCTTGAGCCTTATGAGCCTCAGAGCCTAGGTGCGCTTTTAACAACTAGGGGATTACTGTTCCATGTTTGGCAGGACTTTTATGTGGAAGAGACGGGAACAAAGTAGAACAGGCGTGTTCCACCTCCACCCCATGGAACAAGGTGAAACAGACTTATGTTTTACCAATATGACCTCAAAATAAACCTAATTCTCTTCTATATCATCAAATAAGCCTTCCTCTTTACATTTTATTCTTTCTTTAAATTTTATTTATTTTATTTTATACCTTTCACTTTACTGTCCTCAAAATATTATTCTTATACGGTTTATATATTTTGATTAATTTACGTAATTTATTAAATATTAATGATAAAAAAAATATAGAAAAGGTTAATAATAAACTTTTTTATTTTGGTGTCATTTTAATCATCTTGACAGAAATTTTCTAATGATATATTTAGTTATAAAAAAAAATATTTATATTATTATATAACTTAATAAATTACATAATTAATCAAAATATATAAACAACTCATTAGGGGTAAATTGATCATTTTATCTCTTCTGTCATGTCCAGTTCTGTCTTACAAAAAACTGAACAACTGTTTTGTCCTGTTCTATCCTGTCCGGATGCCAAACACACCCTAACACGACAGAAAATGAAGATTTAACTAAAGATATTGCACTCTATAGAATAAACAATAGTAGCTCGTAAACAAAGTTTTAAGAGAGAGAAACATAAAAAGTACAAACTTTCCTGCATAGATATTGAAATGCATTACAAAGAGAGGAAAAAAACAAGGAAATATGATTGTTAAAGCCTTAATAATCCTGGTCCACATGAGTAAGTGGTGTTGCAAGATCCAGCAACTCTTACGGTGTATTCGTGAATGGGTCTAGCAAGGAAAGGCGGTAAACGACCAAGTAGCTCACAGACACACTCATCGTCAACCTGAGCCAACCACTTACAACATTGCTGTTCTATTGGTGACATTCTATGTTTATGATGACTATGACTATGTTTGTGATGATCATGTCTATGATGACCATGACCATCCACATGACTTTCATTGTGTCCATGCCCATCATCAAGCTCATGCCCATGTGAATGATGATGATGTTTATGCCTATGTCTATGACTGGGACTATGTATGTGGTCGTGATGTTCAGATGAAGGTGGTGGAGTAGGATAAACCGCAGCAAAGGGTGGTGGTGGAGGTGGGGGCGAGACTAGTGATGACGGAAGATATGCACAGGCTTGATTTGCAAGGGCCAACTGGAAATTACAGAGTGGACGAGGGGCAAAAGGGGGAATTGGGACCGTGGCAACTAGAGGGCGTTCTATCTGGGGATGAAATACAAGAAACAACGTGAAAGATGCCCATTTAAGAACATTGGAAGTGTCCATAGTCTTTCCTAAGTATGAAAAAACCAACCGTTGTATAATACCTTGCCTTTGCTCATATATATTGCACATTTATGTATAGAAATTCATTCATAAAGTTTGTGTGTTCTTTAGGTAGGAGCCTTTCTGGGTAGGTTAAAAAGAACTGAAAACAGGAATAAATTTGTAATTATTGAAGTGAAGTGTGTCACCTTCATTCCCTTCGCATGAAGATTGAGTAGACCGTGTTTGGTGTAGTATGGTTTGCCACCCAAATGCAATAGCACCAAACTTCTTCTATCATACTTTGCAAGAAAAAATGAGCAAAAAGGAAAGTTTAACCAAACAAGAGTTAATAAAATAAAACGCAGAAATTATCATCAAGATTTCAGGTAGGCACCTCAAGGAGAAAGGCACCTTCTCTTATGAGTTATGATATGAGAATCAAATCCAAATTCATCGATTTTTCCAACAAATAGCAATTTGAATGGTAGTTTCTTGATGGGACATGTAGTTTTTTAAACTTTATGAAATACGGATGCTCATGGAATGATAAAAATCAAATCTTGACAACATAAACAATGTGTGATTCAAGAACCCAGTAAGATACTTAAAAGTCATATCAGAGTTTGATGCATTGGTTGGGGGTGCAGGGGGGCGACTACCCTAGAAACTTCAACAGTTGTGAGCATAGCAGTAGCTCAGTTTAATGGAAAGACTAGAGATAATATACATACCATTGCTATATAATATGTGAATTCCCACTGGCTTTGATGCTTCAAATGCTGGCAACAGAGCAAGTTCAAGAGCTATAAAGCTCTTCGCTTTCAGTAAGTTCAGGATTGTTTCTCATTGCCACCATTTCCATATCGTTTTGAACTGCTTCTTTCTGAAGTTTCAGCTGTTCTTCCCTCTGCTCATGACCTTCAGCCAATAACTCAATAAAATTATCATTAATTTCTAGTAGTGGGTCTCTATCAATCAACTCATCACCCTTATAAGCTTCTCTCAACATTGCTGTCTTAATCCCGCCTTTCAGTGACATATAAAAGATTCCTGAATGCCTTGTGAACACACTCGAGAATGCATTTGAAAACCTGTACTCTTCAGTAAACTTGCCCAATATCGGCACTGGGATTCTTTTATACAGGGATAACGACAGTAATTCATGAAAAACACCCACCGTCCTCTTCTCCATCTCTTGAGATGCTTGATCGAAATTTGATGCATCATCATATGGTGAAATGTAAGGAAGTTCCATCCAATCTCGAATCCATTCCCTCATTTCTTTTCTAATAAGAAAACCTTTTGGAAGCTTCCAATTGAAAGATGGTCGGATCTTTATACCTGTTAACTCCGATTCTTCATCAGCCCTTTGTTCGATCACTGATTTTGCAAATATAGGGTTCCAAGAAACCAGCTCCAAAAATGAATTTCCTTCTCCAGGAGACCCGATTAATTTGAAATGCTCGGGATATTTGGGAATCAAATTCACCATTAAATCATTAGGAAATCCGAATTCCCTCTTCACATGAACCAATTTCTCGGCATTAACTACATTGTTCTTGGCCATCATCAATAGTTTACACAACTTAGCAACAATCAACGGCTCATTTTCGAGATAAATCCTTTCCTCCTCGTCTAAAACTCGTTGGAGCCGATCACTAAACCTTAGAAACTTAACAGGTTCAGTCTTGGGTTTGATTCGATCATAATACACATCGAAAAGCCCCGGATTTCGAGATAAAAATGTTTGGATTTTGATTGGAAGTCGTAATCTTTCACGACGTTTCTCCAAATACCGAAGAGGGATTACTTGACCAGGTTCATTTAACACCTCTTTAACAACCTTTGCACATTGTCTCCATGATTTATCGTTCTGAATTGCTTGATCTAGCTTTTGGTCTTTTCGCCAAACTACTTTTAAACTAGAAATTGAAGCTGTAAATTGATACCAAACCCTAATCCCAATCGAGTTCCTAGATGCATTGAAACAAGAACAGATAGTGTGGCTTTGGAAGAACATACCTTTGATCAGAAAGCCTGTATCACATCATAATCAAGTAAACGACGAATCAATGAATAACTTTTTGAATTTGGTGAACGTGAAACTAAAATCTAGGGTTTGGGGGTTTACTCTGATTGAAACAGTTCCTTGACGGGATCTGAATCTTCTGGTTCAAAAATGCCCTAACTACTGCTCGTTGATCAATTGGTATACTCTGATTGAAACGATTCCTCGATTACAAAACAAGTTCATCAAGAGCAATACAAATCAGCATTTAGCAAGAAATCGAAGAGCAAACAAGAAGGAAATCGTAAGTAGCAATAGCATTAAGCATTTGACGAGAATGAATAATTGAAATTTGAACCTGCGTCAGCAAGTGCCAAGAACGTGACTGTAGCCGTGAACGTTGGACAAGGAAGGAGGCGGTAGGGCGTGGACGACCGTGATTGCCGCCCATGGGCCGGCCCCAAAAAGCAAACAAGGACGGTGGTCCGTTAGATGGACCTACAGTCAATTCCAACAAAAGAACACAATTTTTAAGTTATTTCTAGAGTATCGAGGACTCTTTGGTAGTTGTTAAAATGATTTTGTGCAGAATAATTAAGTGGTCGGAATGATTAATAGGTTTTCATGGTATAATATAAAATGAAATATAGCTTTTTGGTTATTGTTTATAATGAAATTAGGGCATTGAATGGTTAAAAAAAGCTTATGATACAAAATTATTAAAAATGTTTTGCAATCATTAAGAGACAAACCTTTGTTTTATCAAACAAGATTCATTTCTTAATGAAACTATTAAAAGGTAAACAAACAATCCCTTAACAACATTAATGACACTCACGGTTAGTGACATATCTAGGAATTTCTACCGGGAGGAGTGAAGGTAAGTTATTTAAAAAATAAAATTTAACATAGTTAACGGAGAAAATAAAAGGTCCTTTGTATGAAGGACCAGATCCATAAAAATTGCATATTTGAAGGGTATTTTCGTATGAAAACAAATGGTCAAATTCATAAAAACTGAGATATCTTAGGGACCAAATCTGTAATTTATTTTTATTTTTATTTTAATTTTAAAATATGATGTGAAATTTTAAGAATTCTTTAAATCAAATATAGAGATGAATAATATTATTTTATTAATTATATTAAATATTTTAATAAAATAAATAACATTCGCATCCGTTGATTCTTCAACATCAGTTAATTCGGACCTTCATTTACCAGTAAATATTTTAAAATAAATATTTCTGCCTAAACTTTTTATTTTCGTTATGGTTTTTATAAATTTGTCCGGATTTTCTTTCAAAAAAAATATATATTAAAATAACAAACTTATACAATAGATTAATAAGATAATTGATGTTGATACTTTTTTAAAAAGGAAATTTGTATTAAAATGAACTAATTTTTAAAATCGTCATTTAAAGTTTTGAATCAAACTTTTGTTTATTTAAGGGTCTAGGTGATCTGTTAAAAATGACCAAGTGTTTTGTCAACTAAAATCTCACATCATTATCAAAGCATTTTCAACAGATTCTCCAAAATGGGGATTTAAAAGTTAAAATTTATAGAAAAAATGGTTCACTTCTAAGAGCTTCTCCATTTTGGAGATTACCTGGTGTAACTAAGGGGTCGTTTACCTAAACACTTACCCGGTAACGACTTAACGGTAAAATTCAACACTATCGCTTACTTACCGGGTAAGATTTTATTCACTAAAACGTATCGTATGCAACAATTTATCCCGATAAGCGCTAACCATGGTAAGAGTGGTCGTCCTCCCTTATCGGGCAAGACTCTTAATTTTTGTCTTCGCTCTTACCGGATAAGATTTTAGTCCTTATCATATTCGTCCGATAAAATAAAATGACTTGGTAAGCGCTTGTTCGGGTAAACGTTTGGTAAACGGCACCTTAGTTTCACCCAGGTAACCTCCAAAATGGAGAAGCTCTTATAAAAGAACCTAAATTTTTTCTGTAAATTTTGACTTTTGATTATCCATTTTGGAGAATCTGTTGAAAATGCTCTGATAATGATGTGAGATTTTAGTTGGTAAAACACTTGGGACATTTTTAACAGGTCAACTGGACCCTTAAATAAACAAAAATTTGATTCAAACTGTTAAATGACGATTTTGAAAGTTAATTTATTTTTTAAAAGTATCAACATTAATTATCTTATTAATCTATTTTATAAGTATGTTATTTTAATATATTCAAATAAATGTTAAAAACATAATATATTAAAATCTTTAAAGTAATATCCATCGAGTTTCGCCAGTAGCTCGTAATTTTCCAACCTAGAATCTTGCATATGATGAATAACAGTGACGGAACTAGTATCGTGTCATCGTATTATTCCTTTGTCAAAGAGTAAAAAAAAAGGTTTGTGAAATGTGTAACCGTATTAATTTGTTGTATGTCATCGTATGTATTTTGAAACTACAATGAAAACAAGTTTTATTTGATAGAATTAGTTTGCAAAACTTTTTTTTCTCGATACTGTGTTAACCAAACTAAAAGCCAGTCACCCTACTTACTTCTCTACCACTTCTGACCTGAACCCCTCGCAAGTCATGACCTAACATATGTTATTTCATGCTAGGACTACACTTTATTTGCTTATTAATTACTGGCTAAACGATTATCTGCAAGAGTGGCACCCTCACTCAGGGACAGACCCAACAAAATTTCAAATGTTGACACCATATGACTATAAGAAAAAGATATAGGAAAAATATTTGACTAAGAAAATGACACTAACAAGATTCGAACTTGGGTCTGGATGAAATAAAAGCTTTGCAAACTAACTCTACCAAATAAAACTTGTTTTCATCGTAGTTTCAAAATACATATGGTGGCACACAACAAATTAATACGGTTGCATCTTTCGCGAACCTAAATTTTTTTACCCTTCAACGGAGGAATAATACGGTGGCACGTGTCATCGTATGCACCACTATAGGTCCGTCCCTTCCCTCACTTACCTTATTGAGTAAAATTCACAGTCATCAAAATCGATCGATGGTGAATATTTTTTTACCCAATAAGTGCTTAACGGGTAGGAGTCTTCGTCCTTACTTATCGAGGTAAGATTATCGATGCTAGTATGTCTCACACCATGTAAGATTTTAGGTATGTCATGTTTACGAGGAAAATAGGTGACACCTGATAAGCATTTACCTGGTATTTGTTTGGTAAACTTTTAAGACAAACTTATGGACATGAATTTTCATACCCCTTTTTTAATCTTGAACGGAAATGGAAAAGAAATTTCATTCGCTTTTAATCTTGAACGGAAAATCGGACTCGATAATGGGTCTATGATTTCTTGTTATTCATTTTTTGACGAATGGTGCTTTATAATGTAGATAAAGCATTAAGATTTTTGTTGCACGTAAAAAGATGTTTGATGGAAAATGATTATGAATCGTTCGATGGGAAGTTCGTTTATTTAATAAATGAACGAACATGATCAATTTTTTTTGTTCGTTTAGTTAAACGAACATGAACAAGAGTCTCGGTTCATTCATTTACGTTCGTTTATGTATTAAATTTAATATATAACCTTTTATTTATTTAGTTTGAATTCAAAAAATATTTATTTAATTTTTTACTGTTTAGGATTAATCTAGATATAATTTTTATAATCATTTTGTCTTATTTGAAAATTTTACCTTTTCACTTTTTCCCAAAAACCCTAGCCTCCAGATAATTGGTGTGTAACAGTTACTTGAATGACAAGTAATGGTGTTCGTTTGGCATGCTCGTTTAGACTGTTCGTCCGTTTAGCATGTTAATGAACAAACATGAATTGAACGAACATAAACGAATACGAACAAACCTGATTTCTAAATGAACGAACACGAACACAAAGATTTTTATTTGCTTTGCGTTTGTGTTTGTTCATTTGTTCGGTTAAGTTAACGAACATAAACAAGCCTCTATTCGTATTTTATCGGTGGGAAAATTGCATCAAAATGGAACCAACTTTCACCTGATTCCTATTTTGGGGAACCAACTTTCAAAATCGTCATTTTGGGGAACCAACTTTCACCTGATTCCTATTTTGGGGAACCAACTTTCAAAATCGTCATTTTGGGGAACCAACTTTCACTTGATTTTTATTTTGGGGAACCAACTTTCAAAATCGTCATTTTGGGGAACCAACTTTCACTTGATTTTTATTTTGGGGAACCAACTTTCACCTGATTCCTATTTTGGGGAACCAACTTTCAAAAGCGTCATTTTGGGGAACCAACTTGGACCTGATTCATATTTTGGGGAATCAACTTTCAAAATCGTCATTTTGGGGAACCAACTTGCACCTGATTCCTATTTTGGAAAACCAACTTGCAAAATAATTATTGAAAAATAACTAAAATTCATTTCTTTTCAAAAATTAATGCAATAAAATATATTTTTCATTTCAAATCTCGTTTTTTTAAATTCATATATCAAATTGAAGATTTTTCGAAAAAAATCCAAATTACCACGATAAAAATTGTTTTTTACTAATGCAATAAAAAATCAATTTAATAGAAAAAAATTAATTGATGCAATAAAAAATAAATATTAAATATCACATTCAAGATTTTTATATCTAACCAATCTGTGTCAATATTAAAGTTTAAATCAAATTTGGCAAATCCAACCAAAAGTTTGATAGAGACCCTTAAATTATCTGTTACATGTTCAACAGATCAATCAGACCCTTAAATAAACAAAGAGTTCGATAGAGACCCCTAAATGACGATTTTAAAAGTTGGTTCCCCAAAATAGGAATCAGGTAAAAGTTGGTTCCATTTTGGTGTAATTTTCCCATTTTTCTATAATTATTTTGCAAGTTGGTTCCCCAAAATAGGAATTAGGTGCAAGTTGGCTCCCCAAAATGGCGATTTTGAAAGTTGGTTCCCCAAAATATGAATCAGATGAAAGTTGGTTCCCCAAAATGACGATTTTGAAAATTCGTTCCCCAAAATAGAAATCATGTGATAGTTGGTTCCATTTTGATGCAATTTTCCCTCGGTTCATTTTATAAAATGAAATATTATTGTTGATAACGCTTAATACCTCCGTATCAATATTTCCATAGTTGGATTTGTAATATTTACATGATTTTCCCCCCATTTATTTCGGTTTGGATTTGGGTATTTCGTTCGAATCAATCATGATAACTTCAAAATTCAGTTTTAGCCAAATCGAAACCAAATTCAAATTCAAATTCAGCTATCTTTTCGGTTTGATATTGCGGTTACCGACACGTTCGGAATCTTGATCGACGACGATACCCTTTTTATCGGGGGATTTTGCTAGTTTCAATGGAATTGCAGTTACCAAGGTAAACACTAGTTTGTGTTCTTGAGGTTCTTAATGGGTTGCAGGTTTCTAATTGCTGTTTAATTTCTTTTTAGTTGTCGTGTTTCTGCAATCGCTTCAAGGCTATGGGCTATCAAAATGCTTTCGAGGTTGAAATGGTTAATCATGAGGACGATTCTGCAGTGATCGTCAGTTCCCCCCAAATTTGTGGCTCTCAATTTCTCGATCTTGCAATCGAAGAAGCTAGAAATAACAAGGTAATTTCAGTTCTTACTATTATATGATTCTTCAACTTCATTGTTCTCTTGAATCTGTTTAATGATTTTTAGCAATTAAGCTTTACATGGCAGTATTTGCATAACTGATTCATGTGATTAGTCGTAATTCACATCACACCTTCACTTGATGTTGATCAATTCAACTTTTCAGTTCTTCAATAAGTATTTGATTCTAGGTTTGATTTTGTTTATAAATGAATTTTTGTTGTCTATTTTGTGTAATATTCATGATGAATGACATCATAAATATTTTTGATGCTCTTGTGAAAGATGTATCTCTACATATACTTGCTTTAGGTGATGGTTTTTAGTAATGGAGTTGTTACAGAAAACCTTGATATCATCAATGGATTCCGTTATCGGGTTTATGAAAGAAGTGGAATGTGAAGAGGAAGCTGCAGAACAAGCAAAAGAGGAAGCTGCTAAGTATAGTTTACATATTCTTGCAAAGGTGGATGAACTTAAACAAGCACAACAACTGGCAAAGGAAACAAATGCCATGGTTGTAGATTCTTTTCTCAATAAGTTTAATTTCATGTTCTGTATCATTTTTTGCTCAATTAGTTCACAAGTTCATGCAAATTGCCCTCTTTACATGTATGGAAAAAAAATCAAATGAGAACCATAAAAATGTTGAGAACCTGTCTCTACAAGTTGGTATTATCATTAGTATGTGTGTTTTTATATGAAATGTATGGTCATGTTTTGCTTCACATGTGAAGTAATTTTTTTCGGTTTTATATGAAACAAATTTTCATCATTGTATGTTTATGGGAAATTGTCCAAAATAGCCAATCTGACCCTCCCTCTTTCACTTTATTGCCACATTTTCAACTTTTTGACTGAAATGACCGAGATTACACCCCTTTCATAACCCAATTTTTTCAATATAATATTCATGAATATTAAACATCTTACAAGTTGCGTAAGTGCTACATGCATGGTGTCTACGTGGACAATCTATGTGGTACACACTCTTCAAGTAGCATTGACACAAGTCTACTTTTCCTGAATATTATATTGAAAGAAGTGGGTTACACACTTACATGTACAAGTTGCATAAGTGCCACTTGCTAAATCTTTTCTATTTCAGTCAATATGCTGAAAAAGTGGCTATAAAGTAAAGGGGGGGGGGTTTCAGATTGGCTATTTTGGACAATTTCTCTGCATTTCACATGCGGCATTGGTTATCGTGATTCTCAACATTTTTTCTGGTCCTCATTTGATACGCCCCCGTTCATGTATCTACAAACTTATGCGGATGTGACTTCTAAGGAGTTGATACATGAGATCTTTTTTCGAGTTGTTGTCAAGTTTAATTGTTCTTTCACCTCTGTAGCATGCTAGAGAAGTGTATGCACAAAAGGCTGTTTTAGCAACTGAATTAGAAGAGCTTCAACTTCGAGTATCGTGTTTGTTGGATGATGAAGATATCTCTCTTGCAGTTCTTGATGAGGTACTTCTTTTGTTAAGGTTTTGTTTTGGAGGGTTTTTTCATAGGATGGAAGGTGCATATTTTTCAATTGGGATGGGCGGGTTTGGAAGAAAAACTTGGCTTTCTGCATAAAGCTCCCCCTAAAAGCTTATTGAATAAGCCACTTTCTATTTACTAACAACCTCTCCATTAGATGTGTAGAGCCTTGGAGATGAGATTGACTTCAGCTTTAATTAAAAAGGAGTTAGCCGATAACGAAAAGCTAGAAAACGAAAGGTTTGCTAGAGAAGCACTTGCCAAGGTCGAAGAGGTGGTAGAAGAGTCGAAGAGGCTGAAACAAGAAGCAGTGGAGAATTCCAAGGTCGTAATCTAACAAAATAATTGCATAATGCCACATTGCCAAAAGTCTGGGTACATCTTTGTATTATGGATTTACTTTTGTTTTTGATACAGTTGCAGGAGTTCCTCATAGATCGTCGCCATGTAGTCGATATGTTACAGTAAGTTGTAGTATCTATGGGTGTGTTTGGTACACGGGCGAGATTGAGCTAGGCGTTGGAAGAATTGTGAAAGGTTTTTAGGGTTATAGTTTGACATGGGTATTTTAGTAATTTACCAATCTTGTCTCCATCTTTCTAGTTTTTGTTCCACCTACTTTGATGAGACAGAAAAAAATTGCATTTTTTCCCTCTCAGATCCTGTCTCAGCCCAATAATTTTACACTAAATGTGGGACTACAAGTTTTTGTACTGTTTTGTCTCGTGTACCAAACACGCCACCCTACATGTAATGTGCTAATAATGAAGTTTGTAGATTCGAACATCTTGTTTTACACAACATTGGTTGATTTGTGCAGCGGAGAGATATCTGATAAATATCATGTTTTAAGGAAGGAGCTCGACTTATCGTTTTCCAGCCAAACGTCCATCTTATCTTCTTCAAGTTCTTTAAAATTTTTGGGAACACCATATGAACCACGATTTGAGATTATGGAATCACTGAATACCCCAGATGAGAGCATTGAGCGAGGCGATTCCAATGTTTCTCATGAGAATAGCTCAGATTATTTGCTTGTTGATTCCACTGTTTTATCAAAGAATTCATCTTCGAATTTGGAGAATCAGGATCAGAATGGAAGTGTGTGCAGGAAGTGCAGACATTCTGTAAACCGAATCAAGAAAAGAATTAAAGTTAGCAAAGAGAAGGTGATATTAAACATGTTTCGGATAAAGAATCTCAAGAACAAGGCAATGAAGAAATGGATCGAGCTGAACAAGGATGCTGTTACGGGTTTCTGTCAAGATGATTTTGCTACAGATTATAGAGCAGATGATTTTGATGACGACAAGGAGGTAATCATTAGTTCTATTTTCATTTTTATCCTAGTTATTCTGAATCTTGTTTACGCATTTTGAAATTGACATTATGAACAATTAAAGAATGGTATTACTTGAACATTTTGGTTGGAAATTTGATTAATTTTATTGGATATCATAAGTTTTTGTGTATGCATATCTTTTGTATTCATTATGAATAAAGCACCTTACACAACACTTGTTTCTCTATAAAGATTGCTACCATCTAAAATTTACATCTTTCTAAAGCCAGCAGTTAATCATGCAAGCAAATAAGAAACTTGGTACACTCCATATGATATAAAGCCGTGCAGTTTGTATATATATGCATATCTTTTGTATTCATTATGAATAAAGCACCTTACACAACACTTGTTTCTCTATAAAAGTTGCTACCATCTAAAATTTACATCTTTCTAAAGCCAACGGTTAATCATGCGAGCAAATAAGAAACTTAGTACACCTCCATATGATATAAAGCCGCGCCTTTTGCTCCCGGATTTGCTTTGAACATCTGAAGAGTGATGGGTGTTTCAATGCCTTGAGGGTTGATGAACTTGAAGCTGCCATGGAAGCCAGTACTTGAGAACTTGTAAGCTTTCAAAGACTACTTTCTCTACATACATGTTTCTCTCTCTCTCTCTCTGTGTATATATATAGGTTCTAGCAATCCATTTCATATGTTTTGTGGGGTTGATAGGATAAGGGCAGAACTTGTGGTTTTGTCCCCTTGGACCAATTGCCAAACTTTTCTTAAAAGGACATGTCAATAGTAGTAGTCAATAGGGGGCCATTTATGTCTTCAGAAATGACTGGATAAGATGATCATAATGTTTTTATGGTCACATGGTGTGTTTACTTTAATGATTGGTCAAACGACCAAAATCGCGTGTTTCGTGTTTTGCTTATAGTTCACACGTGCACATGGGCGGACCTAACATAGATCATAAACCGCACCTAAGCCGGGCATCTTGGACCGTAGGTGAGATTTACGCATTTGTTTCAATGAGGCAGTTTGGTGAGGCGTCAGGTGGGTTTGAGGCGTATGGCTTAGATGATTTGCTTTGGTAGTTGTACTTCTAGTTGTGGGACCATTCAAATATAGTTGTGGGACCCATAGATGAATTAACAAATGCAACCTATGCGGTTTTCTATTAACAACTCACTGAGCTTAATGGGATTCGCAACTTATTCGGTTAGCTATAAGTGATTGTTTGGTAATGGTTTTAATGATACAGAATGTGGTTTATTTAGTAAGCTTTATGCAGAATGGCCATCCTAATTATAAAACAGACTCCTTTCACTGATGAAAAGACTTTTCAATCTACACAGATAGATCAATCTACATGACATATCATAGTTTTATTTTAGTGTCATCATTGGTGTTTTATTATGTTGTTTTTTCAAAGTTTCACATGGAGTAAAAGTGACGGTGTTTACGAGTGGTGTGTATGTCGGGTTTAAATGATGATCATAGGGTCCAACCCACATGCCAAACCTTTGTCTTGATGTTGTTAGTGAAACTTGGCCATAGAAATATGATCACAATCTTATCAAGAATAGAATGTCCATTGGAATTGGATGATTCAAAATGACAAGTTTGGTCAATAAGATTCTTCAAGTTTTGAATTTTGGTTTTGTTTGTAGTAAAGAATACATGTGTGTAGATGCTTATCATTTTCCTTTTTATGGTCTATAGAATAGATGTGTGTGTGTGTGAGCTTGAAACTCGAGTCTGGTTACTGAAATGTTGTTTGACAGATATTGAATGATTTGGTACAGAAATAAGTATGCGATTTTGTATGATTCAATGCAAAATAAAAAATAATTGATAAATGTTCTGAGAGATTAAGAGACCAACTTATGATTTAGAAGTTGGGTCGTTTAAAGACACTCGACTCGAGTAGGTTTGGCTCGAACTTGAGTTCAACTCAACATATTAACGAGTCAAGTCTCTATACTCGACCTGAAAAGCTTATGAGATATTCGATTTTTATATAAAATTAGTTTTATAATATATAAGTATAAAGGTACTTGAGCAATGCAGAGAGATATATCTCGATTTTAATGTTTCATTTTTTTTTTGGTCTCTATCTGGGTTTATGTGGTTTTAAACAAGCAATAATGTTTTTCTAATATGAATTTGAAGATATAAAAATTATAGAAAATATAAAAGTTCTCATTTTTTTGGTGTAACTTAATTCAAAAAAATTATTATAATTTAGTTTAGGTTTAATGACGAAGTAATCTGTTTTTGGTTTAATAGTATAATTTTTATAAAGATAATAACTAAGTATTCTGTTAGAACTCAATAATTATTCTAATTATGTTTTAGATATATTTAAAATGAGAATTTTATTTTGTATTTGATTATATTTATCTACAGTTGGTTACACAAATTCAATATAGAGCTTAATAAGTTATACTTATGCACAATTTACCTGTAATCTTGAATTTATGCATCAATATGAATACTTCATGTGTAAAAAGATAGTTTTTAAGAGTTTTTGTCAAATACTTTATAATTCAGTATAGATTTGTAAATATAATATAATGGAAATTTTTATTAATAAACTTACCAATAAAAAATGTCTTTTATATTTTAGATATTAGAACAACAATGTACAAAAAAAAAATTCCTATTAAAATTATAATTAAAAATAAAAAGAAAACAATAAGTTTATAGGTTAAGTTGAAGAGATGGTAAAGAGAGAGTAACCATGCGTTAAAAAAAAGGAAGGTGAATAAAGTTTGTAATTTTATTTTCCTGATAAAATTTGAGGTGCATTCCTCGAGTTTTGATAAAGTTTACAATAATGACTACAAGTTTTATAATTTATAAAAAATACCCTAAAAATTAATAAATTTCAACGAGTGGGCTTGGTTCGAGCTCGAGTTTAGAAAACTTCTATCGAGTTTGAGTCGAAACTAGCTTCTAACTACTCACGAGTTTTGGAAATGGCTATTGAGTCCGAGTCGCATAATTTACACCCGTAGTTCGAAAGATGAGATTGAGATATACACACAACAGTCTACTCCTAAAATGTAGAACAGTTATTTACATAACTTTGAATAAACGAAAACACACATATGCTAAAAGGTACAAACTTACTTACATATTTGCATTTCCATCAAACAACGACGAAGTTAATAAAAAAATACAATATACAACTCAATCATCGACCCAACGTGTAGTCTCGTAACTCCGAGTCAACTCACTTGACTCGTTTAGACTCGCAACTTATATGGAATCGTAACGCGTAGTCGTTCTCATTGTTTAGCCAACGCTTTTTTGATGTCCCCCTAAAACAAATCTTATAAGATCGCTAAAAAAGGAGAGAATAAAAAAGGGCGTGTAACGAGTTACCTCAATGGATAACGGTGACGTAGTTGTGCCGTATCGACCTATAACCCGACCTTCTTTATCCACCAAAAACTTGGTGAAGTTCCATTTGATGCTAGACCCAAGTATGCTCCCTTTACTTGCTTTAAGAAACTTGTAGACCGGTGATGCATTTGGTCCATTGACACGAACCTATGTGAACCACTTGGTTAAAACACCGGTTTGTGCAAGTATACCATCATGAAATTAACTGTACTATGTCTAGTTGGCTATTAGTTAGGGTGTGTTTGGTACACAGACATGATGTAACTAAAAAGGACTGAGTTGACAAGAGTGAGGTGAAAGAACCGTGAAAGGATTTATTTGACAAGGGTAGTTTAGTAATTTACCTATCTTGTACCAACTCCCCGATTTTTGTTCCACCTATTCTGGAGAGCCAGAAAACTGAATTTTTGTTCCACCTATTCTGGAGAGCCAGAAAACTAAATTTTTGTTCCACCTAGAGTCGTTTACCAAACGCTTACCGACAAGAGAAATTACCCTTACTTACCTAATCATATAACATTCTTTGTCATCAAAATGGATTGTAGGCGTTTACCTGGTAATGCTTAATGGGTAAGACTCTCGGTCCTTGTCATATTATTTCGGTACAGTAAATGATACCAGTAAGCGCTTACCCGGTAAGCCTATAGTAAATGGCCCCAAAGACTTAGAGGTTGTTTATTAAACGCTTACTGGGTGAGTGCTTGCCCACAAGAGTTCACCACTCTCATAAGGTTACTTACCTTAAGGGGTAACATTGCCGACCATCAAAATATAAATTAACGGTAAGCGTTTATAACCCGGTAAGTCTTTAGTAAACGGCCCCTAAGACTTGAGGGTCGTTTACCAAACGCTTAACGGGTAAGCGCTTGCCGACAATAGTCAACACTCTCACCTACCTTATAAGGTAATATTCCCGGCCATCAAAATAAATTAATGGTAAGCGCGTCATCACTATCACTTATTGAGTAAAACTTTTGATCCTTGTCTTCCCTCTACAGGGTAAGAATTTCGGTGCTTGTTATATTTACGAAGGTAAATAAAACGACCACTCAGTCTTGTTCTGTCGCAATCTAATTGTTACACCAAACAGTCATGTCCCACGTACCAAACGCACCTTAAGGGACCCATTTCACCGATCAAAAGCTCAAATGTATTGCAAATACAAAGACCAAATCAATCCGCATCGGTTTTATTGTACATGGATCAAAGAACTCACCTTATGAAAGATGGGGTATTCGGCATCAAATCGTGTGCATACAAATTCTTCAACCTTCTCGCTTGATTCAGGCTCTTGTTTCATAAATTGATTGCACGGGAACGCCAATATTTCAAGACCTAAAAGTAGAATAAGCGAGTCGAGTATTAAGACACCTACCTAATGACATTTACCCATGTTTGGCAATCATAAATCAGCTTATTTTTTGAGCTTATTGAACAAGTCCCATTTGGTTGGTAATAAGCTAGAATCTACTTCATGCAGTGCTCAAGCTCCTGGTTTTTTCCCGATTATGCCCCTTATAATTTTCCAACATGTCCGTTTTGGTCATTTACATTGTGTCTAGCTTATGAGCTAGTTTTTACCAAATATGACTAACCTTGTCACCTATCTTTTAAGCCAACAGCCAGCTTATCAGCTAGTTTACCATACAAAGCCTTACAACAGCAGATAACATAAGGGCTGTTTGGTTGGTTTTTCATTAAGTACTTCATGGATAAAGTTGTCGGTATGTATTAATCTGTCTGTATAGATTGGGAATAATTGGAAGTAGTGGCAGATTTGGAAGAAAAAAAAGACTTGGTTTTCTGCATAATGCTTCCCTTAAGAAGCTTACTGAATAAAGCCACTTTCTATATCATCGGCCACTACCAAACAGTCGAATAAGCTGTGAGTCCCATTAACCCTATTAAGCTGCAACCAGACAGGCTGAGAGTGGGACTTGGGAAAGCAATTTGCTACATAATTAGGGTTCATACCTTCACTCTTGTACTTCTTGTAAAGTTCAGTCAATTTGGGGTAATTTGCATTTGTAAATCCACTGTTTCAACCCCAAATAAACATATAATCAGACACCCATTCATCCACAAAACTTATAAAATCAAGAAATCTTGAAGAACAACAAAAGAGTACCATTTGGAAGCAACATTAACAACAAGAAGAACTTTGCCTTTATAGATACTCAGATCCACATCTTTCCCCTTGCTATCCTGCGCCGTTTTCACACAGTAAAAACCAAAATCCATGAACAAAAAAAGTGTGAAATCAGTGTGTGTGAAATGAAATAAGACCACCTTGACTGTAAATTCATGAATCGATTTCTCGGGGACAGATGAAGAACCACCCATCAGTTAGTATGGATTATTGAACCACCCACCACCGCCGTCGCCGTCGCCGTCGCCGCCTCCGTGAATCGTCGATGAATAATTGAAATGGGTATGATGAATCGTATTTGTGGAGGAGGACTAAACCAACGTTTACTTGTGTCTTCCATTATTACATGGTTGAAATAGGAATACAGGATTAATCAATAAATGCACTAATCAAAGTCTTTTAATTATTTATTTGTTATAAATAATTGGAAAATTAATTGTTTTAAATAGGGGATTTATTATTATATATATTTTTTCAAATATTTAGTAAATTACTTGTTACTTTTTTCAAATTTTACACAAGTATTAATTAAATACTAGAAGCGTACTCGCGCAATACAGCGATTTCATTTTATTTTTTATTTTAGCTGATGTTATAATATGGCTTTATGTGATTTTGAGAAAACGATAATGTTTTTATTTTTGAATAAAATATATGTTTGAAGATATCATAAAAATTTGACAAAAATATATCGATATTAATATCAAATTAACTATTT